ACCAAGAGAAGGATGAGAGGGGCGAGCTATCGCCGATCAAAAAACCTTGCCGGAGAATGGTCGTCGAAAAATGACGGCTTCAACGACAAAGAGAAAGATTGAAAGGAGGAGGAAAAGAGGGAAGAAATATAGAGTTTTAAGGAAAGAAAAGCTTTGAGGAAAGAGAGTAGAGGTTTGGAGAAAAAACAGCCATAGATCGTCGCTATCGAAGGAGAAGAAAGAAAAAATGCCCGATTCCGTTCGATCGGTATTTATAACAAGGTAACGTTTTTAGCGACGGTCTCTAATCCGTCGCTAAACATAAATTCGAAATTAAATTTGATCGTTTCCCACCAATGGTTTACTTTTAGCGACGCATTAGCGATGGTCTCGGACCGTCGCTAATTTAACGTTTGCAATGGTTATTTTTGCAACCGTTAAAAAAATAAAAAATCAAATTACCAGCGGTTTAAGACCGTCGCTAAGCCGATGTTTTTTTTGCAATGGCTTAATATATAAAACCATTGCTAATGAGATCATCGCTAAATCGATGTTTTTTTTTGCAACGGTTTAATATATAAAACCATTGCTAATCTTTGTTCAATGTGATTTTGTAACGTTACGACCGTCGCTAAAACGAATATTTTTACAACGGTTTACCAACACCAAACCGTTGCTAAACTTCGGTTTGTTTTAGACCTCACCCATTTGGTAACGAATTAGCGATGGTCGTGGACTCGTTGCTAAATTGTATTTTATTTAGCAACGGTTTTTTTATAAAAAAATATTAAATAACATTTGGCAATGGTTTAGCAACGGTTTGGACTGTTGCTAAGGTTTAGGAACGATTTAGCGACGGTATAAACCGTTGTTAAATTTGCAATGGTTTCTTATAAATTGAAACTCGTCACTAAAATGGTTGGCTTTTAACATTAGCAACGGATTTTGTAGATCGTCGCTAAAAAACGATCGCAAAGTTTAATATTTGTAATCATTTTTTAGATCGTTGCTAAAGTCGATAAAATCGTTGCTAATATTTATCTTTAGCAATGGTTTTTTGAGCGTCGCTAAAACATATCTTTCTTGTAGTGTTTATTTTACTCAAATAAATTAAAGTCGAGTTTAATTGGTTATGCGGATATAGGTTATCTATCCGATCTATACAAAACTCGATCATAAGTGGGTTATGTATTTACACTTGGTGATATAGCTATATCATAACATTCTATGAAGCAAACTATAACGGATAAATATTTAAACCATGCAAAAATATCAATTTATTAGGCAAGTCGAGAATGTGTTTGGCTAAGATCAACGATCCATCATATCCGAGAGATATGTAATTTATCTACCAAGCAAAATAAGCTTCAACAATATCATATGAAGATAACGCCGTTTACATGATCCATTAAAAGAAGAATTCGATCAAGTGACAATTCAATAGATTTGTTCACTAAGGCATTGCCTATCACAACTTTTGAAAAGATGATTCACAAGATTGAAATACATTATCTTAAAGATCTCAAATGATGTTTTCAACAGGGGGAGGCTAAATGCCAACATTGAGATTAATATATATAAGGAATATTGCACTATTTTTCTTTCATTAGGATTTTTTTCACTAGGTTTTTTCCTAGTAAGGTTTTAACGAGACATGTTCCTTGTATGATAGACATTCAAGGGAGATGTTATGAAATAATGAATGTCTATAACCATTTCATATTTTCATTATCCATTATTCTTAACGTGATTCAATTCACCATTAAATATGAGAAATTAAAATGGTGATGCAATTTATCCATCTTTCAATAGTTTATAGTCCCTTCCAATTCTCTCCTTAATCTTGAAGCCTATAAATAGACTTGATTGTTCATTAGTTGATATACAAGCATTTTGTAGAGATTAAGAGAATTGTTTAGAGTTGTTATCTTTTCTATTCTTATTATGTCATATTGAAATCATTTCTTCATTATTTTTCTCTCCAATTCTATCATTGTTACCATTTCTTTTATAACAATCCTAACATTTTTATTTCTTTCTTTTTCCATGTCAATTTGGCTATTTTGAATTAATACTTCTCGTATATAATTTTAGCAAGAATTTGGAAAACGAAAAAAAAATTAAACCTACAAATCGTATAAGTATGCTTAAGATGATGATGATGGTGATAATAATAAGTAATAATAATACTCACCAAATTTCTCACAATTTTGAACCTCACTAAAGCTATAGGAAAAAAATAATTCAAATTATGTTTTTTTTTATAATGTATAAAAATATATCTCAATCCAAAATCTTATTCTCTAATATATTCCATCAAATGAAAGTTTTTTACCGTTTGGTTAGCAAGATTTTGATATTATGTTAAAAAATTATTTCAACTCAAAAATTTAAATTGTTAGGTGGGATCCAATAATAATTATATATTATCAATAATAATTATATATTATACTCTCTGATATAATGTATTGAATTTTCATTCAAATATAGGAACCATTACATCAGATTTTATAATGGCCATGATATTGGCAGAAACTTCATTGTTCCTTCTAGGAGTATGGGTAAAGAGACACTTTAAAAACCTACCTGCCAATACTGAAACGTCTTCCACTAGGAGAGGGATAGGTGTTTGTATCAACCTTTGCTTTAATTTCGTTAATGAGAACTAAACCATGTGTCTCTATTATCACCGTTTGGTAAACCGTACACAGACCAAAATCGATACCATAAATAATAGCCTGAGCCTCTCCCATTGACACAGATTGCTATGGTGAGATATTCTTATGAGTACTAAGCATAATATGACCTTGGTATATCGAACTTGACTTTCGAAGAAAAGTTAATTATCTAGCCTGACTCGATGGTTTCAAGCTACCTACAACAACATATATAATATATTGTTGGTAAGGGCTGAAGATCGGTCTGACCCGGTGAAATCTGAATAAGATAATTCGGATTTCACTGGTTTTGATTGAGTTTGATTAGGTTTGGGCAATTTTTTTTGATAAATGAAGGGTTTTCATTGTCAAAAAAGAAAAGGAGTGAAAGCTTACTTCACCACAATTTTAAATGGTGATGTGATTGTAAAAAAGATCACAATGCGATTGTAGGTCCTGATGCACCATGCTAGTAAAATAAAAATCGTGGCAACTCGTCGCTACACGACGTTTGCGAGACTCTCAAAATTTTAAGATTTATTTACTTGAAAATTTGCTTATTTGGGGATATGAGCTATTTGTTAATTTCGGAGTTGTCATTTAGTATTAAAGGTAACTAGGAACTTAAAATAGATATCGATCTAGAGATTCCTCGTTAAGGAGTTGGTTATACCTTTGAAAAAATATCAATAATCCAAAAGCATTATTTTCTAAGAAATATACCACGTCTAGTTTAGTCCTAAAATTTATCTCCTTAAAATTTTGATTTTTACCAAAATATGCTAGCTCCAATATCTCTTTCTTCCAACAGACTTGATATGAATCCTAAGATTCTAAACTTCTCTACAATTTTGTTTCGTTTCAATTCCTTCTCTCAATTTGTTTTTCTCTTATCAATTGTTCTCCCACTTGTTATTTCTCTCTGTTTTCCCATACTTCCTTCTTGTTTCACACCTTTTTTTTCCGACCCTAATTCTAACCTATTTATACATGAAAGGCCTCATTGTTACTTTTGGAATCAATTCCTATTAACCCCAAATTCTCCCACAACAAACAATTCTCTCCAAGCTTGTTGTTAGTTTTGGCTTTTGATGAATAGAGTCAAAACTTGTGCTAATATGTGAGTTGTTTTGTATGTGTTTTATATGCAAGTATTGTAGGTGGTGTATACGTGATTTTTGGTCGGTACAAGTGCCGGCTAAGAGTGAGTTTTGTCCTCTCGATTTATTGTCTTCTTTGAAGATGATGCGTAGTATCGAAGGGTGGCGAGGGTTGGAGCCGGCATGTGAGATTGCTATTGAGGAGACTTGGACGACGGGTCATTCGGATGATCCTAAATTGGTCATGTGGTTTGTGTTCTATAATGATTTGGGTCATTGTAGGTTTAATTTTTTTAATTGCACCGGGTAGATGCCATGTACTTTTAGTTCTTTTAATTGGGTCTCTTAGTCTTATAATTTCAGTCATAGGATTTCTAATTGCTTAGATTGTATCCCCAATTGCCTCAATTTCAATCCCGATTGATTCAATCATACCCCTAATGTGATTCTTTTTTTGGTATTTTGTATTTTATATCTTTTTTTTGTATTTTTTTTATTCTATTTCCTCTTCATCTTTTTTTTTTTTTGTAAACTCCATAATAAAATGAAATTAAAATAAAATAAATAAAAATAAACAAAAGAAACCAATAAAAGGATAAAAAAATAAAATGGATAAAAATGAAGGAAAATTAGGCTATGACACAATCAATATGTTGAATGCATTAGCAGATTAATAGTTGTTAATAAATTTATTTTAATTCACATATTTTTAATAGTTTTACTAATTAAACATATTAGTAACATCTTTAATAATTTAATATCACACAATATTAATTGAATTTATTACAAAATAAAGTTAATAATGCTTTTAATAGTTTAATATCACACAAATAATAAAAAAAATATAAAGAATACATTAAAAAAATTAAAAATAACAGTAATTAATAGTAAATAATGACATTATATAAGCAACGTATAATATTATTATTTATGTAAAATGCTAAAATGCCATCGTGCTTCTTATAATGACGCATAATGGTAATGGACATATGCCCAAATCCATCAAATAAGAGCAGTTATAGTATTTAATAACCATTATTTGGAACTATGTACCTCACTATAAAAGCTTATAAACAGGATTTCTCCTGCAAACAGCTAGCTTCTAAAATTCCATTCACGGAAGAATTCAGAAAGATTTGTGTTTGCATCTACAACAAAATTTCTTTTTGAAGATTTCTTTTGTAAGATAAAATTATTAATGATTGTGTTGATTTTTATTTCTATGGATATTCAATATGCATGTTTAGTGCACATGAAGTACTGGTTAGGTTCCAACTGCATATGAAGAAATTTGCTCAAAAATTAAGCGTGATTCTATCATCTCCTGAAGAATACTCCGCTGAGCTCTCTGATGTTAATTGTGCAAGTATCATGTCCTTCTTTATCTACCACAACTACGGTGTACTGTTTATCATCACACTTGAATTCTGAACAAACACAAAAAAAGAAATAAGATTTATTGGCGTATGAACATATATCTATATAGTAATAGTCGCATGAAGAATTCATCCTGTGTGCTAATTAGGTAAAAAAGAAAAAAGAAAAAGGCAACCTATATCAAAAGAAAAAGAAAAAGAAAAAGAAAAAATTAAGTATACTGTATAAATTAAATCTCTATGGTTCATATATTTATATATACACACACTTATAGCAAGATGTCTGGGAAAGATTAATATAGTCATAAACTCATAATTAATATCAATTATTTTCATTCTCAGACAAATAAAACATATATATATATATATATATATATATATATATATTCCTAATAATATAACCACAGAGATTTCAGCTCTTGTTTTCTGGTTCTCCTTTCAAATCTTTCTCTTAATTACCATCTTGCTCTTAAAACTTAATTTATTAACTAAAAACCCTGTAATTTCCTTCCAGGCAAAAAAGTTAGCACGAATTTTCCTGTTCAGTGTGTGAGGAAACCTTTAGACATCTCAAAGGAAAATATCGAGAGAGATGAGATATCAGCAGTTCCGAAAAAAACAAGAAAAAACTAACTGTAATTTTGGTGCCCTAATTTTTTTTTATTTTTGATGTTCAACCGATAGTTTTTTTTTTTTTTTTTTTTTCCTATTTTACTATCTAAATTTAATTATTTTTTTTCTTTTTAGTGCCTAAAGTCACTAACATCAATTTTTATTGACCTGTCTGACAACATCTGTCATGTCATTTGGTATATTTTAACAATCACGTGCCAATACATGTTGGACTATAGAAAAAAAAAACATAAATATCTTAAATTAGTTAATTAAGTAATTGAGAGAAAAAAAGATTAAAAACATTACAAAATCGTGTTTGAGAAATGGAGAAAAAAACGAAATTTTAATTCAAAAAAATTATTAAATTATAAAACTTCCGCAATTTGTAATTGACAACGGACGTTAACAACTTTTTTTTCCCCCTTCACAGTAGCTGAGACAATGAAGAAAGCATAGTACTGGCATACTTGAAAAGAGACGGTAACCATCCTCAGATCCCGTTAATTCTCGAACAATTTCAACGGCTGCTTTCTTCTCCTATAAATATTATCATTCCACTAAATTAATTTTCAAAAAAAAAAAAAAAAAAAAAAAAAAGGTAAGAAAAAAGCACCGAGAAACTTACAGGTTGGGAAGGAGAGGTTAGAAAGCCCACTCGTTCGTCAAACTCCGTGGCCATAGCTGCTCTGCTGTTGTCTTTGGCAGTTCTGCTGTTTGGTTGAGGAGGGATCAGGGAGGCTATAGAATCAGCTATAAGAGACTCGGTCGAGTGATTCTCAAATTAAATATATGATTTCAATTAAGCTTTAATTTGAAAATTAAGCAATGTAATCCTTGATTGTATACTAAATAATTTGAAGAAGAATAAATTGGAGAAAAATATAAGGTAACAAATCTTTATCATTTTTCCTTTGTTTAAATTTTTTTAGTTGGAAGATTATTTAATTAACAATGCACTCGATTTAACCGAATTATTTATGCAGGGATTGATTTGACCAAATTTCTATCATAGAGGGATCTGTGGTCATGTTTCGCGAGCCAAAAACCTGAGCTGTTCCACTGCTTATTTTTCATGCCCATAACCTGTTTCATAATATTTCCATGTCGAAATCTTATTTGATACCAGTTTGAATCATTACTTTCATTCATTTATAGATGGCAAATCTATCAACAAAGCTGCGCAAATCTCTTCTTTCTTACAGTCAATTTCTTCTTCAGTTTCGTACACTCTCTACCTCACAAACACCACTTGAAGAAACCCTCAAAGCAGCCATTGAATCCAAATCTTACACACAAATCCCTAACCTTTTCAACTCCTTTAAACAATCTAACAAGAACCGAAGTTCTTTTTCTTTCCTCTCTGCATTCCCTTTAAATCTTAGGACCCAATTAATTGATGAAATCATCCAATCTTGGATCCCCATTAGACCCTGGTTTCGTTACTCTATAGTTTATAGCTCTCCTCTCTCATAAACCCTACAAAGTTTGACTTCTCAATTGCTTAATTAAACTAATTCATTTTTTATGTTTTATTTTTTTTTTCAATTCCCTAATTAAACTAGTTTAGAGCATTTATGATTTTTTTCCCCCTTTAGTCCAACATGTTAGTCAAAACTCTATTTGACAGTTAAAAAATGGAATGTGACAGATGTTGCCAGACAGGTTAGCAGAAATGGTATCAGGCGACTTCAGGCAAATAATAATAATAATAATAATAATAATAATAAATAAATAATAATAATAATAATAATAAGATAAAAAATTAAGCACCAAAAAATGTTTTTTCTTTCTAAAAACAGAAAGCTCTAAAAGTATGAGGTACATTACGACAGAGGTATCTTTTTCTTTTAGGGCTGCAGTGTTATATTTAATAAATTTCAATGGCAATTGAAGTGAAAGAAATCAGTTAGCAAAAGAACGATATTCTTTGAAACAGCATGGCAAGTGAATGAAAAATTGCTCTGTTTGTTGCAAAGAAATCTATTATAGGAATCAATACCCTCAGGATTCAAGAAGCCCCTCAAATCTCAATGCATCACTAGAGTTGCCACTAGACATCATACCAGCACAGCCAGGTCATTGTAGTCAGGCATGAAGGATCAATAGAAGCAACTGGACGCAGAGCCAACAATATTAGAAATCTGGTCAATGCAATGTTAAAGAGACGGGCTTTCAAACATAATGTCAGTAGAATAACAGCTCAAGCCAAAAGCTGCATTAAGAAGAGAAAAGGTACCAGATTAACTCCAAATACATCTTCCATATCTTGACAACACGAAGATGCAACTTAACTCCAAATTCATCTTCTATTGTTGCCAAAACAAAGATGCATTAATCTTCACCAGATCCTCATTCTGAATGATTGCTGTTGCTGTTAGAAAAATTATAAAGAGCTTCCTGCGGGCTTTGGACTACAGACTACTCATTTGGTCATTGTGCACTTAATTTGTATTCCACTATTATCATATCATGACTCTGAAGAGGATACCAAAATGTTTCCGGGTAATTAAATAATTTCAGACTAAAGCCTATCAGGAAAAGAAAAAAAATGTTAATGGCTGTTCTAGAAACTAGGTTGATAAATACTTGATACCTGTATAGATCTTCAGACTAGAGCAATCTGCTGATCTCACTTTGCAGCAAACAACAGGAAGCAAATTTCTGAAATTCTGAAACAAATATTAGAAATAGATGACCCTAACTTGCGCCAAAGATTTTATAGCATGGTCTGGCAAACTGGCTTACCACTTCTGCTTGGCATTTTGAGCAGGCTTGTATCATTAGCATTGCTGTCCAACACCTTAGCATAATCAAGATACATCATCCTCTTCCCCTACAAAATAAGCGTCACTGATGCAGGGTTGATATCCAGCTTCCTTCATGTGATCAACCAGTTTAGCAATCATTTCATATAACTCTTCTATCTGACTGTGGATCTTGTCTCTAGCCACAAACTCATGTCTTACATTTCTCACTTCAATCCAACTACAAGCAGCTTCTTTCCTCAAATTTCTCTCCCTCATGGTCCTCCTCACAGCACGAGCATCATTCCATCTGTTAGCAGCAGCATAAATGTTTGATAACATAATATATCTTGCAGCATTCTTAGGTTCCAACTCAAACAGAGCTTCTGCAGCCCTGCTAGCAAGATCCAAGTTTCCATGGACCCGACAAGCACTTAAAAGTGCACCCCACATCCCAACGTGATTTGATCCCTTAGGCGCTCTCACAATCAACTCCATTGCTTCATTCAATCTATTTTTCCTCCCTAGTAAATCAATAAAGGTTGAAAAGTGCTCTGGTTTTGGTTTAACACCATAGTCCAATTCCATAGAGCCTAGAATTTGAAGTCCTTCTGAAACTAAACCAGTGTGGCTACAAGCAGATAACACCCCAAGAAATGTGACATGATTAGGCATTGTTTTTGTTTCTAACATCTTTCTAAAAACATTAAGTGATTTCTCTGCATGCCCATTTTGCGCAAGCCCTGTTATCAATGAGTTCCAAGACACAACATCCTTTTCTGGCATCCTTTCAAACAATGTCTCAGATGATTTCATATCTCCACACTTGCAGTACATGTTAATTAAAGCGTTAAATATGAAAAGATTAAGCATATCACCTCTACTGCTACTTCTAATGATGCGTCCGTGGACCTGTTTGCCTCTTTCAGGAATTGCTAGATCAGCACAAGCTCTTAAAACAGTAACAAATGTAAAAGCATTAGGGCAGACTCCCTCTTCCTGCATTTGCACAAAAAGATCCAAAGCTTTATAGCCATGCCCATTTTGTGCAAAACCAGCTATCAGACTAGTCCAAGAAACAGTATTCTTAACAGGCATTTCTCTAAAAATCCGAAAAGCATCATCCAATCTAGACGCTCGAACATACACTGAAACCATTGAAGTCCATGACAAAACATCCCTTTCTTGCATTCTACTAAATATACAATAAGAAATATCAGAATAACCACATTTCCCATAAGCATCGATCAAAGCGTTGCAAACTATCTTATTAAACTCTACCCCAATAACAAGCGCCGCTCCATGTACTTGATGAAGCAATTTTACCGCACCTAAGCAAGCACAAGAACTAACCACACTAACAAATGTAAACTCATCAAAACATACTAAGTTAAAATCTTTTTGCATTCTTCTAAAGACATTTATCCCTTCTTTATAAAACCCATTTCGAGATAACCCCGAAATCAATGAATTGTAGCTAACAAAATTTGGTTCAGGCATTTTATCGAACAAGTGCCGGGCGTTATCAATATTGCCCATTTGTAGACAACCACTGATTATTGTGTTCCATGAGTGGTTGTTCTTGATGGGTACATCTTCAAAAGCATTTTGGGCACTTTCAAAGGCATTGCATTTGAAGTAAATGTTGATGAGGTTGTTGGTGATAAAGCGGTTGAAAGTGAGAGCTGTTTTGATGAGATGGGAGTGAAGGGTCATGGCTAGTTTGAGGTTTCTTGTAGTGGTGCATTTTGAAATGAGGGAGGTGATTTGTTGATCAACGGTTGTCATGATGTCAATTGGAAGTTTGAACTTTGAGTTGATAGCTTCATGGATTGAGAAAGATTTAGTTAGGTCGATGCAAAGGGAGAAAGTTGGGTTGAAAAAACTGGAAACAGGGTAGAGATGTTGAGTTGAGTTGGGGGTTGTGGTGAGCAGAAAGCTCTGTTTGACTCGTTGGAAAAAGGTAATCAATTATAGATAATGTTTATGTTTCATTTGAATAGACTTCAAGTATTTATATTTTGCTTGATAACTGAAGTATATTATTAAAAAGATTTCTTTTCTTTTAATTTTTATTTATATTTTGCTTTATAACTGAAGTTTATTATTAAAAAGATTTCTTTTCTTTTAATTTTTTAATATATATATTTCAATAAAAAGAAATATAAGTTTTTGGCTTTGCTTCGTAATTAAAGTTTATTGTATAAGTGTTTAACAAAAAAAAAAAAATCGTTAAGAATATACAAAATTAGAAATAATATTTCAAATATCACTTAGTGAAAAAAAAGAATATTCGTTGTATGAATTTTTTTTTTAAGATAAAAATTTTGTTAGATATTATATGAAATTTAAAAGAATTTGCTTCTTTTTTTATTATTAAATTAAAACATTTAGATTGAGTTCTTTATTGATGAAAAGTCCTTCATCTAATTGATCGCACATAAAATGAGAGTGATAGATAATGATTTTTATAAACAATATTAAAAAAATAGTATGTCAAAATATTCAAAAATATTTAATAAAAAGACACTGAAAGAGGAATTGGAAATTAAAAATAAAAAATAAAAACTCAAACTATAATATACCAATAAAAATTGGATAGAAATATTAAAATTATATATTTGGAGCTTTGGGCCAGCCAGGACTCAGGTTCAAATTAAGATGCTTTGGGTTGAAGGTTTCCTGTTTGGTCCAAAATCAGTGATTGGTTGACCTTTATAATCTGCTTGAAAACCGAGGAGTGGAGCCAAAATTTGAAACCCAACAGAAATTCAAAGATCTCTGCCATAAAAAAACACAGCAGAAATTCAGCAACATTCCTTAATAGAAACCAATAACCCATGAATCGATTTCATCTATACTGATAATGGATGGCAAGACATGGGTTGGTCAAACAAATCATTGCTAGTTCTGGTGGTGGTGGTGGCATCTTTTTCTATGACTCATCGCCATTTGCAAAACTCTTGGATTTATGCGTCAAGTCAAGCTCAGCTACGGATGCTCGTGGCGTACATGGACGTATTATCCAAACCCCATTTTGCAAAGAAGTTTTTTTACAGAATAGGCTCATTGACGTTTATGGAAAGTGTGGTTATTTGGATTATTCACGCAAAGTGTTTGATAGAATTTCTGAGAGAAATGTTTTTAGTTATAATTCGATTATTAGTACTTTAATGAGGTGGGGTTTTGTTGATGAGGGTGCACGGATTTTTTCGTTAATGCCTGAGAAGGATCAGTGCTCATGGAATTCCATGGTTGCTGGGTTCGCACAACATGATCGGTTTGAAGAAGCTTTGGATTGTTTTGTTAGGATGCACAGGGATGATTTTGTGCTTAATGATTATTCTTTTGGTAGTGGTCTTAGTGCATGCGCGAGGTTAAAGGACTTGAAATTGGGTGCTCAAATTCATGGTTTGATATCGAAATCGAAGTACTCATTGGATGTTTTTATGGGGTCTGGTCTTGTTGATTTTTATTCGAAATGTGGGTTGGTGGATTGTGTTCAAAGGGTTTTTGATGGGATGGAGGAGAAGACTGTTGTTTCTTGGAACTGCTTGATCACGTGTTATGAACAAAATGGTCCTGCAAATGAAGCTCTAAAAGCTTTTGGAAGGATGATAGAGAGTGGGTTCAAACCAGATGAGGTTACACTGGCTAGTGTAGTTAGTGCTTGTGCAACGTTGGCAGCATTCAAAGAGGGTGTGCAAATTCATGCTCATGTGGTGAAATCTGATAAATTTAGGAATGATCTTATCTTGGGTAATGCATTGGTTGATATGTATGCAAAATGCGGTAGAGTTAATGAAGCGAGATTTGTTTTTGATAGGATGCCTGTTAGGAATGCAGTGTCTGAAACCACGATGGTCAGTGGGTATGCAAAGGCAGCGAGTGTGAAAGCTGCCAGATCAATGTTTGCGACAATGAAGGTGAAGGATATAGTTTCTTGGAACGCACTTATTGCTGGATACACACAGAATGGGGAGAATGAAGAGGCATTGGGACTCTTTCGAATGCTAAAGAGGGATTCTATTTGTCCGACCCACTACACCTTTGGGAACCTACTGAATGCCTGTGCAAATCTTGCTGATCTGGAGCTTGGCAGGCAGGCACATAGTCATGTTGTGAAGCATGGATTTAGGTTCCAGTTTGGTGAAGAGCCTGATATTTTTGTTGGAAATTCTCTCATAGACATGTATATGAAATGTGGATCTGTTGAAGAGGGACTTCGGGTTTTTGAAAACATGGTGGAAAAGGATTATGTCTCGTGGAACGCCATGATAGTAGGGTACGCACAAAGTGGCTATGGAATGGAGGCCCTTGGGCTATTTCAGAAAATGCTGGAGTCTGGAGAGAAACCAGACCATGTTACAATGATTGGTACTCTATGTGCTTGTAGCCACGCAGGGCTTGTTGAAGAGGGACGACGTTACTTTTTCTCAATGACAAAGGAACATGGTTTGCTACCAGTGAAGGACCATTACACATGTATGGTTGATTTACTAGGCCGAGCTGGTTGCCTTGACGAAGCAAAGAAATTGATAGAGTCAATGCCTATGCAGCCTGATGCTGTTGTCTGGAGCTCTTTGCTTAGTGCTTGTAAAGTTCATCGCAACATTACTCTAGGGAAGTATGTGGCAGAGAAGATTTTTGAAATTGACCCTACAAGCTCTGGACCTTATGTTCTTCTTGCAAATATGTATTCTGAGCTTGGCAGATGGGGTGATGCTGTAAGTGTAAGAAAACTGATGAGGCATCACGGAGTAGTTAAACAACCGGGCTGTAGTTGGATTGACACACAGAGCAATTTGCATGTTTTCATGGTGAAAGACAAAAGGCATCCTCGGAAGAAGGAAATCTATTCAATATTGAACCTTCTTACAAAGCTGATGAGACAAGCTGGATATGTCCCTGAGGCCGGTGATCATGAGGCATATGAGGAACCAAGCGAATTAGAATCAAGCTCTTGTTTTCATATGGAAATGCAAGCAGAGACAGCTGTCATGTAATTTTTTCAGAAATGTGTTCAAACACTCGTTATGTTACCAAAACATGATCAATTTTATGATTCAACAGAAAGAATAAAATTTCATATGGTGTTGTCCTTGAAAATGGTATCGTCAATACAAGTCCACAAACTTCTACCAGGGTGGTCTGTTTTTTATGCTATACAAACGGTCTATATGGCTTCCATCTTTCAAAAGACAAGTCCTCTGGATTGGAATTAGTGCCAGCTTTCTAAGAAAAACTAACCCTCAGCACAAGGAGAACTGACTTGCGCAGCACAAACAAAACCATTTAATGACAGGTAAAATCTACTAACTTGTTCTTATATTTTGATAGACAAGCAAACACATTCTAACTTGTTTTGATCTCTTTCAAGATTCTTTTGGTTTGTTGCTTTTGTTTTTGATTCACAATTCTTGCGAATGGGCATATTTTCAATTCTTTTCCAAGTCATGGTTTCTATATTACTATTGAAAGGGAATAATATAGAATAGAGTAATTTATGATGTAAATATAGGAAGTTTTTGTACGTTAGCTAAGTTAGGAAAATCTGTCTTTTTGTAGTTAGTACTTCCTAAATAGGCTAGTCTCTTTGCTATATGTATAGGTTGTAACTCCTTGTATTATTCATAGCAATACAACTATTATTTTCTTCCATAATATTCCGTATGATATCGAGCTAACCTAGTCCCCGTAAGAGAAAAAAAAAAAACCCTAGTCGTTTAACCTATAAACAGACCTCCTCATCCAACCTAGTCGTAAATCGGCAACCACAACTCCAAGCATGTTTGAAATCAAATCGACTCCGCAACCACTAATCCTTCTTCATCTACTTTAGCCAATTGGTAGAAAACTCCAGCCTTAGTTTCCTCCGAATCTTATTCAATCCAAATAACTACTATTTGACTAAATAGAGATAATTTCTTGCACCGGTCTCAATCTTTGTTCATGTATATTCGAGGTAGAGGGAAAATTGGCTACATTACTTATCGCAAATAAGCCTCACTTAAAGTGTCGGGAGAGAGTCTTTAGCTTATAGAATATTTTTCTTGTATATATGATTTTGTGATACTCGTTTTATATATAGAGTGAGTTACAGGAGATAAGTATAAAAGATATGTACAAGAGATAAGAGCACTATCTAACTTATCTATCTAGTTGAATATATACAAGAGACTTTGTAGAGGTTGGAGATATAGCTGCAATAGTTTTTAGAGAATGGGATGATGATACGATAGTAGGAGCAATAGGAGTTCACAAGACAAGTAGTAGTAGGAGTCCTCATGGCAATAGCGAAGTATTCATGGTGATACTAGAATTCTTTGGAGAAGAGAAATGAACCATAGTAGAAGTGTGTCTTAACACCCCCACAAACCGAATGTGGTCTTTCTCCCATAGGGAGTTTGTCGTGTAAAAAAAGAACCGTGATGTTGATAATGGTTAGGTAAGAACTTCAGACAATCCGATTTTGACTAGAGATGAAAAAGACTTGAAGACTCCTCTCGAAACCATGTCTCTAACAAAATGAAAATCAATTTTGATGTGTTTTGTTCGTGTATGGAATAATGTATTTACTACCGGATATGTAGCCCTAATATTATCGCACTAGATGATTGATTTTGAATGCAAAACCTCCCTAAGTTCGCCAAAGAGGGAAGTGACCTAAGTCATTTCGGTAGCTAGATCAAGCAACTACTTTGTACTCTACTTTTGTGGAGCTTCTAGCAACAGCTTTCTGTTTAGACAATTTTGAAGATATTAAATTCGGATCAATGTAACCGACGATAACCACCTGTAGACTTTCTATCATCTAAAGAACCTACCCAGTTAAAGTCCGAAAAACTAGTGAGGGTACAACACACGTTTATGAAGGTGCAAGACACATGTTTTGTGAAGGTGCAAAATAAGAGATGCGAGTGTTCTTGAGATATTGGAGAATTCTTTTGGTAGCAATCCAATGGTTAGTGGTAGGGGCATGCATGAACTAACACACATTATTGATAGTATATGCAATTTCGGTCCAGTCGTGGTAATATATTGAAAGGCCCTAACCATTTGTCAATCTAGTGTAACCTCTTCAAAAGTTGGAGTAGAATCTTTTATCAACTTGGAAGTGGTAGACATTGGAGTAGAGAATAGTTTGGAATTTGTCATGCCATGCTTGGCTAATAAATCAAGAATATATTTTTGTTGGGATAAGAGGATACCATTCTTAATGTGTATTACCTTAATGCTTAAGAAATAACTTACGGAGTTGAGATCTCTTATGGCAAATCTAAAGTTCATAATCCGAATAATGCACTATAAAAATGATGGATCATTTCCTATAATGATGATGTCATCTACATAAATAAGCAAAAAAACCTTGTATCTAGTAAAGTTCTAAATGAAGAGTGAGCTAATTTATCTTAGAACCAATAAAACCAAAATCAACCAAAAAATCAATGAGGCATGAAAACCGTGCTCTAAGAGACTATTTTAGTTCGTAGAGTGATTTATGCAATTGGCATACATGGTTAGGATAAATAGCATCCACAAAACCGATCAGTTGAGTCATATAGATTGATTCACGTAAAGTACCATTGAGAAAAACGTTATGGACATCCAATTGCCTAACCGGATGATACAAGAAGAGACAAAACACAACAAATTGTTTTGGGTTTAACCACTAGGCTAAAAGTTTTTTCATAATCCACTCCCTTTGTTGATTATACCCTTTGCAACCGATCTTGCCTCGTGCCTTTCAATGCTTCCATTTGTTTTTTTTTTTTTTTTTGGGTCTCGAGGACCTATTTATTGGTAATTATGTTCATAGGAGAAGGAGGGACTAAGGGCCAAGTACTCGTATGGAGTAGATTTAAAATTTCAACTACTATGGTTGTTCGTCATGATAAGTGTGTGCGTGCTTCGGAGAAGCGAAGAAGCCTCGTGGACCACAGGTCGAGCAATGGCAATAGAGGCATTCGGCTTATAGGTTTTGGTCATGTAATGGAGTACCATGGGTTGGGTTCTAGAGGATGCAGCTGTAAAGGGGTGGGCCTTTGAATGGTCTAAAGCATAAGGGCTAAAATCTAGGACTAGATTTAATCCACTGAGCGAGGTTGATGAAGGAGATTCGAGTGTGTGGTCGTTAAGTGAGGGAGATAAAGAGTGTGTGATATTTGTATTTGGATACGTGGGTTAGTCTTGGTGATGGGCTTTGAGCTAGGTTATGGTTCAAGTGGTCGTGTTGATACGGTGGGCACAGGTCGAGAGTCGAATAGGCTTTGGGTGTAGGTTTATATAAGGATTGGATATGCGATGGGCCGGTAGATTGGGTATGCGTTGGGCTATGAGGCATGGCTATTTGGAGTGAGTATGTTTTGTTGGGTTATGGGGCACGATTTGTGGTAAGATAATAGGCGACTGTTGTGAGGTGAATGGGCTTGGTTATTCTTTTGTTATGTCCGTTTGTAATGATGGACTTAGGTTACTCATTTTGGTCGGCTTATATATAGGTGCAATATCTTGGTATGGCAAATGGGTAATGTTTTGGTTTGGGGACATAGGAACCAAATGAGGCACAAAGTGGTGCTGATCCGTATAAGAAACGAGTGAGAGTGAACTCGGAAGACATGCCCGAGGGAGGAAGAAGATGTGGCTTGGACAATAATACTAATGGAATGTTTTGCTTCGACGAAATGAAAAAATGGTTTAAATAAAACGGACATGACGAGTAATATAAGTGCGATTTGTTTTTCCGTTATGACATCGATAGCTTAAATGAACGAGACTATATCTAAGAAAAACATACGGAGTCGAGCAAAAATCCATTTTGTGTTTATTATAAGTGGTGTAGAAAGGAAAAGCAGAGACAACCAAAAATTTTCAAAGAGGAATAGTCTAGAGTTTTGTGAAATACGATTTGAAAAGGAGATTTATTCATGGTGACACTCGATGGCGTACGATTAATGAGAAAGACAATTGTTTCAAAAGCATAATGCCAATATTTTTTTAGAAACACTTATTTCACCTAGTAAAGTGAGGTCGATTTCCACAATACGAAGGTGTTGTCTTTCTACTATCCCATTTTATTCATGTGTATGTGGCTATATGATACAATGGATAATGCCAATGGATTGAAAAAATTTATTTAAAGTGTGAAATTCACCACTTCAATCAATTTGGACTTATTTTATCCGACAATTAAATTAGCATTCAACCATTTTTTGAAACTTAATGAAAGTGTCAAACATATCGATTTTTTTGTAAGGAAAAATACCATATATAGTTTGAATAATGATCAATAAATATTATATAATATTTGACCTTCAATAGATACGATAGATGAAAGACTTCATACATCACTAAAAATTAAATTTAAAATCTCAAAACTTGTGTTTTTGAAAGAAAATAGAGGTAGATGCTTTGCTTTCTCTAATGGATAAGATAAACGAAGTTAAATAATTTAGAAGAGGTAGATAAAGAATGTCTTTTCAAAACAGAATTTAGTGATCTCGTGGTGGGAATAGCCTAACTGCGAGTGCTAAACATTTGTAGAGATAATGGCAAAGTGGACTTGTGAATGGGATTAGACGAATGATGAAGTTAAATTTTATAGATCGACTTCACTCGGCTCGAAAGAATTTTTGTCCCGTGTTCCTAATCCTTTAGATAAAAAATAAAAGAGTGAAACTCTCAAAACACATTAATATCACGTGTTAATTTTTCAATAAAAAGTAATTGTTTAGTTATTTAGGGAATATGCAAAACATTAAGAAGATGTAAAGTTTTGGTTGGTGTTTTAATATGATAAGTACCAATATATCGAATTGGAAGAAACTCACAATTGCCAACTTGGAGATGATCGGGGTATTTGATACGGTTCATAGTACCGAAGCTTGATAAATTAAGAGTCACATGGTGAGAGGCATTATTGTTAGGACACTAGGAAGGTGTAGAATGGGTGGAGGATGACACAACAATGATATTTCGTCGAAGGCCGAACGAGAGCAAACCGTCG